GCTGATTTCTGCTATTATTATCCTCCGTGCTATCTAATGTATTTATAACTTGATTTAAGCGTTTCTCTCTGTCCTCGAGCATCCGTTCCTCGCTCATCTTATTGCCCGCGTTAAAGAGATTTGTACTAACCATCATTGCACAGGAATTCTTGTCTGACTTTTCTATAAGCTCACTTATGTTCTGCAGATATATACTTTCGTTCATTTCTATTTTCTTCGTATTTAAGCTCAGTCTGTTGCTCTCGTCGTCGATCTTATCGCAAAGTTCATCCGACTTTTCTGAACTGAACGCCTCGCCGCTCAAACTCTTTGTCTGGTCGTCCGAATAAATGCTCAGTTTCTTATCCGAATAATCGCTATACTTGTCGTCGTGTAAGTACACGGAACTCTCGTTCGATTCGAAATTACTGGCATTTATTATCGATATCCTTGGTATGATCAAGTCGGACGGCAAACCCTCGACGTCATTCGGCAGAGTCGAATCCATGGACAATCGGTTAATGAAATCTCCAAACGAATGTTGCCCTTTGCTCTGAATCCATATCTCGGTTAAGAGATGCGATCTCTGCCAAGAAGCGTCGCTGTTGCATCTGTTCGTTCTTGCGGCCCACTCGTTTTTATACTCGTCGTCGTTCGGCCATGAATACAAGCAGCAATCGCTAGGGCTTCTTTTGACATCGCTCGTGTCTTGATTCGCGTCCATCGCTTCTTGCTTTTTACTCTGAACGATCAGCTCCAATTTGGATTTCAGGAGAGCAGGCGATACAGCTCTGTTCAGACGTCTGGCTAAGTTCGACGTTTGAGCAAACTGTGACGTGGACACGCTGTTCACGTTATCCACGTCCACGTCCGGGACTTCACCCGAGGCTGATATTATAGCATTTGGACTCGGGCTGTCCATGCTATCCGGAGTGTAAGGATCATGCTTAATAGGTGCTGCGTGCAACAAGTTAGTCGAACGGTCTGTGTAATTGACCCGTCCGCTAACGTAACTACTGTAATCAGGCAACATGGACAACAACTCCACGTAATTGCTTGGCACTCGAAAGCAAAACTCAGGTGCGCTTGGCAAGCTGCAGCAGTTTATCATACCTTCGTCCATAATGAGATTAGCCCTCAAGTAGACTGGCTGCAAACGGGAAAAAATGGACGATCCTTATGTAATATCGTGCATCTCTATGAAGAAATGGAGAGGGATATTCTTCGTATGGTAGGACTCTATAAAAAGTCTAACTAATATTAATATAATTTAGGGAAATACAATAACAAAGTACTTTTAGTACGATACTATAGAAATATAGAAATATGGTGCTGAACGTTTGGTAAAACTCACTGAAAAATATTTCACTTTGTTTACACAAAGGTGGCTCTTCAATATTGTGAACATGATGTTTCGATTATGATTTCATAATTACATCGAGGGAGCTTTAGCGAATTGCATAAGTTTCTTAATTGTGATGAAAATGGATTTAATAAATCGCAATAAAATGCTACCTACGATCACCAAACACAATATACTTAACTTTTTCTGATGACAATGTATTCGAAAGGCTAAGTACAATTATAAAATTGGGAATTGTTAAAAAAGTGATTTTTCAAGAGTGATACTATACTGAACAAACTACACTGACAAGCCTCTAGTTATAAATAGAGGAATGAAATACCAGTAGAAATAGAGGATATACGGAAAAACCAAGATAAAAACAGGCAGACAGTTGATAGATAGGTACCTTAGTGCTTAAAGATTCATTCGAAACTCCAGAAAAACAGGCTGCACCATAATAATTAAAAGAATGAATCATCAGATAATAACTAGGAAGTGTGTAAATATATTCACCCAGCATAATAAGTAAAACGAACCAGTATCTTCTTACATTAGAAAAAAGAAAGACTTTCTCACCTTATGATCACCCATACAAGTTGTTGGACCTATTATTCCATATTCAACAGCGCCTGGCGACGATATCTGGGAAAGGATAGTAATCACGTTACACAGAAATATTGTTTGTCCAAAAGATACGCGTTTAAGAAAAGAATACAATAGGATAAATGATATTCCATACGTCTTGGACTAGCATTTTAGCGGTAGGACTCAGCAGAATACGATCGCACCAAGCCGGTACTCTTGTTTGCATATAATTCGAACCTTCATTGATATCTTCCTCAAATGGATAACTGGGTACAAACTTAATTGGAAATTCAAATAATCTTCCATCAAAGTCTTCCAGCTCTCTGTCATATTCACGTAGCTACATAAATATTGGTAATTTCATTATGGTCTTCCTAATCGTCAATGCAATATTATAAGTTACATTATGTAGTGTAAAGTTCGAACAACGAATTACTTACCCACTCTCCACTATTTTGCACAAAAACATTCTGATGCTCGTAATGAGAAAATTCCTTTTTTCCTAATGTTAATATGAGATCATCGTCTTTATTGTGAAACTGCAATTTCGAAATACTTCCTTTGTTTGATAACCTTCTCTCTTGAGTATCTTCCGTGAGTTTCTGTGCAAAAGAAAAGTTGTACGTTATTTTTATTTCTTTATACCTTTACAAGAATAGGATCATTTTCGAATTTTCTCATACTTACTTTGATTACCCCGGCTGTGTCCGTTCTAAAATTAAAGTCTCCAAATAAAAAGTATGGTACATTTGCATATTTATCGTTATGAAACCTATCTAATGTATGTTCGAGCGCTCTTCTACGCGTCTTACTGTATACAGATGGAAACTGGAAATATATTATGAGAATAAATAAATCATCAAAGCAATCTCATAATAAAAGCTATAATCACTTACTGTTTCCATAGCAATGAAATTACTCGCATCATGAAATAAATGTATGTTTATGAGATCAAAAACTGTTCCACTAATACTCCATCGTGTTCTCAGAAATCCTTTTCTGGACCATTTACATTCTGGAAAGAATTCCTGAGGGAACTTTGCTTTTTCTTTGGTCGTGACTGCTTCTATATTACCAGAATGAACCTCCTTTCCATTCACTGGTATAAAAGTACATTCTAAAATTACAATAGTAACTTGAGTTATTTCAATTCACTCTGCTACTGTGACATTAATGCGTCAAATATGTTGTTGTACCTTGGAAGTCCCACAATAAAACTTCTTTCAAAGATTCATGCACAAAGTAAAAATTTCCAAGTGCCTGAAAAATTGACCCAGTTTTGTTTAATTATCACTAGTAATCATTTTGTAAATGCATAATTTTTATATTCTCCCTACCGTAAAATGTTCAGCAGATGAATAATCCTCATCCAAGAATACTCTAATTTTGTCAAATAACCTTAATTCTTCTGATGACATTAGTAACCTGCAATAAATAAGTATATTAAGCTAAATTAAGCTTTGTAAGAAGATAAAGATTTCTCTACCCTGAACTTTCCATAGTAGCTCAAAGATCTGTTATATTTTCAAACACTTTTTTTACATTGCTCCCCTATGAATATCATTCGATAAATTCATCTTTTGAAGTGGCTCACTCAACCATAAAGTCACGCGTGATCATCTATTTTTATCCCTTTCTGCCACTTATGCGTTAAATCATTCAATATCGTGATCAGGGAAACTTATTTGTCTTTGTATAATTTCTAAAAGGCTTGTGTATACCTCCTACTACATTCTGCTCCATAAATGTTTCATGTATAAAACAAATAATAACGTTTACACAAATATTATAGTATAAACCTGTAATTGTCCATTACTTTGATTACAGGGAATCAGCCAATGGAAGCCTTTCAAGAAGCCTTTACTCTAACAAGATTTTCTGGGGTGTCTTTCTCATCTTTAATACGATATAATTACTACTGACTGTGCAGTAGACAAAGCTTTAGAAAAGTAAAAAAGGAAAAAGAAAACAATTACCTAACAAAGTCCTCCACCTGCCTGGTGCTGTGCTCATAATTTTTTCCACCTACTTCTTGGCAGTGCAGTGCAATAAATTTTGGATCCAGCCTCAGTATAGTCTGAAAAGCATTCTCCGTGTAATGTAAATACCCATTATATTTACGCAATGACAGCGCATCTTATCTGCAATATATACTTACAGATAAAAATTCTTCCGTCCAAATTTTCAACATCATGTTAGGCTGTAAAAGAGATTGTAATTTCAAACAAAAAAAGTTTCAATTAAAAAAAAAACCAAGATCGAAAGAAATTTAAAAGCATATCTTGCTGTATATACGCGAGAGAATTGATAGTAAATCTCGATGAAAACGCGTACAACGATGTCATCGTTCTTATTAATCGATTAACGGGCAAGCGTAATTCGATTTAAATTCGCGCGATTGACACAGAAACACGCTGCTACAGAAAATTGTCATCGTGTTACCATTGTTGCAACTAACGTGCGGGATCGGTGGGTAAAATCGCGATGCTTTACACGATTACGGGCAGGAGCGAGGAAAACAACGGGGGGGAAGGAAAGTGATGACTGAGGGAAGAGTAGTTCGCGAAGAACGAACAAGAATTGGCATTGCATCGTACGAAAGACGCGCCAACTGACTCTCTGAACTGGTGGAAGAAAAGAAAAAGAAAGAACGGAAGAAGAAAGAGAAAGAAGATGACGAAAGAAGGAAAGAAAGAGATCGTGCGGCGTTCGAGAGGTAAATCGCGGGGCACGATCGATCGATCATTCGAAGGTACACTCTGGTGAAACGTGAGAAAAGAATGTTGAGAACTTACCTCCTCGAAGATACTGCCAACGTTTGCTGTGACCAATAACACTGGCACGCCGTTACCCGCCATTCTTCAATGTGTCAAAAAGGGAAAGTTTTGAATAGAAGTTCGGTGTTTGCGCTGGAGGAGAGAAAGACACGGATATATCGGGTGGCGTAGGAACGATCACGAGGAGGAGGAGGAGGACGTGAACGACGTAGAACAGACGCAGAGAGAGATCGGTACGGAAGGCTGTCAGAGATGGATCGACACACGTCGAGTCGAGCGTTACTGGCACTGCCTTGAGAGAATGTTGCAAGACTACTCTCGTAGCACCTCGACTTGTCTCGGGCAACTCGATTCCCCGTTGACACGAGCAGCTACGCCCGGATGAGAAGTCACCCCCGGCCAGGAAACCGTGTCCGCGTGTCCGGAGGAGTCAACCCCTGTGCCGAGGAGTGGCCACGGTTTCACACCGTGCACCGGTCGCATCAAACCTCGCACTGCAAATACACATTATTAATCGAATAACGCGAGGCTCGTTCGCCGCACCAGAGGGAAAAGTTGTGTGCGCGGTAAATATATCCCTCTATCGGCCAAAGCGAAACCACGCCTACTGCAGACGTCAATAGGCAGTGCCGTGCACGTCGGACGTGTGAACTCCACCGGGTGGAAACCACGTTCCCGGGCCCCGTTAACAATTTCTCCGCTTCACACTCCCTGACACGGATTTAATCTCTTCGTCTCTGCGTTTCTTTTCCACGCGCTACGTCGCCCATGTTTTATGTTTTAAACGGCCTGTCGATTTGTCAATGGAGAAGACCGTGACTCTCGGTTTTACGCCGTTACCGACATTCGATGGCTAATCGATCGATCGCAATCAAGCGGCTTTTGCTACGATCGAAAGTTTCGTGGGACGTTGATTAAAAACGAGAATCGACTCTTCAAGTTTCACGCGATCTAATTATCCGGTGTTATGTTTTTCTTCTCTCTCTCTCTCTCTGGTACGTGCGCCGAGTTATCGAGAATTGCTAAAAGCGTCGGCGATAATCAACGGAACGGAAGTTCAGATAAGGGTACGCGTGCGCGCGACTCGTTGCTGCGAGCCGTGACGGTCGTTGAGAAACCAGCAATTCAATGATACCTAGATAAAGCCTGGGCCAGGCTCGTTTTATGTCGAATCTTTATCACGCAACGAAGATAACGGTGCTTCGCGAAAGCACGCTACGTTATCGGTCGGTAAAATCGGGGAAATTTGAGAGTGAAACACGCGAGGTGACGTACACGATGCGTACGCTCCTGCGAACGTTTGTCGGAAACGATGTTCCAGCTGCGCATGAGAAGGGCGAACGCACGCGCTCGTACGCTCCGTTTACGTTTACACCTTATTTTCCAATTTTTTTTTTTTTTTTTTTTTTTTTTTTTTAAAGGATCTCGAATGCAAGAGTAGACGCGTTAACAGCAGACAGCTAACCAATTGAGCTGCGTTGGTCAAATCAGCGAAGCGTGCGCGTTTAACCACAAAGTCAAACAGAGACAGAGATAGAGATATATAGATAGATAGATAGAGAGAGAAAGACGAGAGAGTGGTTCAGTTAATTATCGCTCGGCGTGTGGTGTTCTCAGCAATTATCATACGAATCGGGAGTTAGAGCGAACGCAGTGTACGGAGCACAGCACGGTTCGGTTTTCGACCTGACGTTGCACTTGCATTGCGTTAACCTGCTCGTCGACAGTACGTATCGCCCGCTCCGCTAGAGCATCACCACCAGGGGACGGCCAGTTTACGTCTCGTAAGCCGATCTGCCGCGCCGTCAGCGTGCCTCGCCTCTTGTGAGAATCTTGCAATTCGTTTGTCGTACGCCACACTACGAAATTATCGTAGCGTCTATTTTCATCGCGGACATTCGCTCGTCCCTCGAGTCGACCAATTCTCTCGCCGATAACAA